TAAAAGAAGTCTGTGTTATATCCCGCCTTTCTTTACTATATTCAATCAATTATTCAGTTTGACCACAACTGGAAGTAGTATAGCAGCTGGAGTAAGAAGAGCAGATGACCTGCTTTTCTTTAAATATTCACCAGTGTCATTTTACTTTTGATTAAGTAAGGAAGATATCTATGCAAGAATAGCGTTTCAATAAACTTTATTTTCTGACTGTTCACATAAAAACCTTAGCACTTTCAGGCCATTTTGGTTTTTATACAGTCTTGCTATGCTGTCATCCCAGTAACTGGCTTTCTGAAAAAAAGAATTACAGTTGAAGATGCCTTATCTTAGCTGCATAGGTAATACAAAATTAACAATATGCAGGATTTTTTTTTTAATTTTGCAGGACATTCCATAAGCAGATAATGTTTATCTAAGAAGGAAAGATAATATACTGAAAGCTAGTATAGTAGTCAACCTTGTTTGTTGCCTTTTCTTTTAAAGGTTTAGTTTAAAACCTTGTAGAACCAATGTGACATCAGCATAATATGAAATTCAGTATGTCAATTCATTATTACTCTGATACAGGTAAAGAATAGAATGTCTGGTAGCTTCAAGTGAGAAACTGAAGTTGACAGTCTCAGAAATAGAGGAAATTTATTTTGTACCTGTAGCTCACTACTCAAAGTAGTGTCCAGTTAAACATTTCCCTACTGCGAATCTGTGGGGTTTTGCTGTTTTTTGATCAGTCATAAAATATCTTCATTTTTTCGTAATCAATTCATGATACTTAAATCAGTAACCCTTCAGAACAGTGGGTTCTACTCCATCTTCCTCAGTTACACTCTTCATTGTTCTACTGTTCTATCAACCTCTCTACTGGCAATCTGTTACTGTGTATTATTCCTATCTACTAAAAAATTACTATTATTTTAATTTTTAGTGTTAATAAATATATACACTACCTTCTGGTTCACATTTTCAAAGTCTCTATCCTCTGTGCAAAATGCATTTTTAACAGTGTACAAAAGCTAAAGTAAAACGCCTATTTATTCTTACTAGATCATTCACTTTAAAAACATTTGCACAAACTTTTGCTCCTGCCCGTGGTGATGCCAGTCTTTGTAGCTCTTGCAAAGCCCAGCTAATTTGGGGTATCTTTCTTTGCATTGGGGTGTAGTTTTCCAAACAAAATATTTTATTGAAAATACCACTTTCAACTGAATGTGGTGCTTTCAGGAGACAGCATTTGGGGAGAAGATTAAAATGTTTCTCCTTTACTTTCAACAGAGCGTTTATACATGTATTAATGAAAATAGAGTATTCATTAATAGCAGCAGCGTTGCTGCTTATATGGCAGATCCCTTCATTTCACAGGTTCCAGGAATCCTTTTCATAGCATCATCTGAGGCTTTCAATTCAAATCACTAGAGAGTAACAAAGCTTTGGCCCCAATTTGGAGCAAAACAGATGAAGAACAGGAAAAGAGTAGTTTTTCACTTCGTTTACATGACTGAAGCACGAACAGGTTAAAGGAATTTGCCTCAAGTCACACAGGAAATCTTTGGCAAAGCTGGGAACCTTGCTAGTCTCAAGCCTGGTCTACACTTGAGGATTCAATGGTATAAATTATACCACCAGCTGAACTCTATCAGCAGCTATTCCCAGGAAGGAGGCAGCTTGTGCTTGCACAGCGGTTTTCTTTTCTCTGAGAAACTGTAAAATGAAATGTTTTATGTTTTTAGAAGGCATTTTTCTAGAATAAACCTTTCCCACTACTATTAGTAATTAACTGGTATATGCAACTACCCAGATTAAGCATCTGGAAAGAAAACAGAATGTTAGTGCTTGCCTGATTTGATTTGTGTTATTGCTTTCACTGTAATATCAATATAAGTGAATGAGAGACTGATAAATAGTCCTAAATTCACTTCTGATTTCTGATTTCTGTTGTGTCTTAGATTTATACATTCAAAAATAGCACAGAAAGCCTTTTGCCAGTTTTTAAATACAGTTAAATAAATGTGTCAACACTAAATAAGTAAATGAATAAATTTCGAAACTACTAAACTGGAATCATCAAGTCAATAAAGTTTTTAAGACTGTTGAGATCAAACATAGTTTCTAAAAGTTGTTTTGAATTTTTATATAACACCTCCCTTAAGTTCTCATAGGATATGGAGGATAGTTTGAGTTACATTTTCCTTAGACTAAGCAGCTTCCTTGGGAGTTGCATGATGCTTCTGAAGCACAAACTGTCCAGTGAAACTGAGTCATTAAACAAGGGCCTGTGTTTACCCTGTGCTAATAAAATGCTTTGGTGTTTCAAGACTTTCAGAGTTAATTGTATCAGAATGGATAGCTACAAATTTATAGGTTTGTAGTTGCTGGTTGAATAATTTTCAAAATTATCAACATCATCAGTGTTTTCCTTATAAAAGTATCTGTCTTCCTGCCAAGTGGATAACTGAGTTAACAAGGTTTTTGTATGTTTTTATTCTTTGTTTCTCTAGCCTCCAAAACTCTTATAAATAGTATGCTACGGGACCCTTCTCAGATTCCAGATGGAGTTCTAGCAAGTCAAGTCTATCAGGTATTAATCACAGTTGTCTTTTTTTTTTTTCTTCTTTCCTGTGGCAATGCTGTTATCAGCCTAGCAGAATAAAAGATTTTAAACCTCATTTAATTACTGTCATCGTAAACTATCAGTGAGGTCAGGGTGCACCATAAATGGCAATGCAATATTTGTGAGAGGAACATTTCACTTTTTAATAGCTTGCTTTTATAGTGAATAAAAGCGTGCAGTTTTCGTTTTCTGTGATTAAATCTGAGCATCATTTGATAGCCTTTTTGAAGAAAAGTAATTACTGTTTTTAAGATACTGTTTTAACTATAATGGTTTTGTAGTTGCCCATCGCTATACTACTTCTCTTATTTGTCTGCAGTGTACTGTGAATGACTGTTGTTATGGACCACTGGTGGACTGCATCAAACAGTATCCTTTCCCATAAAATTTTAGGTGCACAATTGACGAGCTTAGACTGTGTGGAAGAGATGTGTCTAGCTTTAACCTGACATAAAGTTCTGCTTCACAAAACACATTTCATACTCCTCTGTTTTACATTCAATCAGCTAGAGGGTCACTGCAGAGCTTTCTCTTACACTGTTTAACAAAAATCAGATGGACCACAAGAAGTTGTCAGTTTGGTGGCTGCACGTTTGTATGCCTGATTGAACCTCTTTGGTTTTCTTTAGTTGAAATGCATGTCTGGTTTTTTATTAAGACTAGTTGACCATGCTTTGAGTGGTGGAGTTGAACTAGATGATGTCTCGGATACCATCTAATCTCAACTATTCTGTGATTAAATTAGTAAGTTGTACAGATAGTGTTCAAAATTATGGCATTGCTTTTTTATGAATATGAGTTTTAATTGGAATGTTTTCAAGTGCAATTCAGGTATGATTGACCGATTTTAAAACTCATATCTGACATTCCAGTGTAGTTCTTTTACTTTCTCTTTTTCTTAAAGGATATGAGGCTAGCTGTAGAAAAAAGCCTATGTAGCTTGAATTTTAAGGTGGTTTTGCGTTTGGTTTTGGTTGGTTGGTTTTTTTTTGTAGTGTTAAAATGGTTAATTAGAGAGCCTCACTATCCAGTGAAAATACTGGAGGAACTCCACACAATACTGAATGTTCCAGACTAAGGATATAATTTGTTAGGAATGATTGCTGCGACCCCAGATCTGTTTTAATAAAGTCCTGAATGAGTAGCTCTTCTGTTTCAGTCTGCTATCAAAGGAACAATTTCAAAATCATGGCCTGCTATCACTGAGCAGACTAGCAAAGCAATTCCCTCCCCAACCCTGGAGAATCCTTGCATAAATCTCTGTGTGCAGTCTGGAGGAAGATCCTGATTTCACTGTACGGTTGCAGGATAGGACAGCTACAGTGATGTTTAGTTATGCATGAAAAACACCACTTCGTGTAGTTGTGATACATGTTGTGGTCACCCCTAAAAATATGTTCTTTCCAGTAGCAATACTTGCCTGGTGTCTATGACAGACTCAGCCCTGTTTCCATTGACTTTAACAGCAGCAGGATAGAGTTTTAATTGTATTTGTATTTTGTGGGTTTAATCATCATTTTAAGTATTCATTGAGACTATTTTCAACATTAAATATAGCTCTCTGAAAGTTGATTAATCTAATAAGTTAGACTTTTTAAAAAGGTTATTGATCACTAATTTTCATATCCAGAATTTTAAGATTAATATTTTGTTGATGAACGATCTGGCTATAGTCTTTTGGAAGTGTCATGTTTGGAGTAATAATAACACATATGTAGAATTATGAACAGGTTTTAAGAGGAACTTGCCTACATTCTAGAAACGTCTTTTCTATCCTCTTAAGATTCTGGTTCCAATGAAGTTATTGAATACGCAGTGACATCAATGAGAATAATGAGGAGTTCCATTCTGGTACAGAAAACTTTAATATTAAGCTGTGCAAGTGCATTATCTGCAAGTATGTTGCTGAATTAGATGTTAATTTTGAGGTGCATAAAATAGTTAAAAATCAATTTAAAGTTAAGGTTTTAAAAGCATAGTGTCTTCTGAAGGATTGTATATTGATTTTAAATATAACTATCTAATTGTATATGCATGGACTAAAGTATGAAGTCAACCTCTTTGTAAATGCCAAGAGGCTATTTTTCAGTAATAGTTCAGATGCTTACGGGAAGCCAGGCTGCTAGATTGCATGAGCAGAAAATGGCTTGTGAGGTTATTTACAAGTTTTGCCCCATGGTCATTGCCATACATCAATAACAGGTATTATTATAGACTAAGTCTAAGTGTTTCTGCTTATGGTGCATTATAAATTCTGTTTGCAGTATTTTTCTTACATTTTTGCTGTTCTTCATTTGTCCCTTTTATTCTGTAACTGCTAGTAGAGTTTAACATAATACATAGTTTCAATTGATAAAAACTGTGTATGTGTGTGTGTGTGTGTGTATATATATATGAAATGATTCCATACAATTAGGTTTTTTGCTGTTCAGCATAAAGTGTTGATAAAAATTAAGTCATTAACTCTAATGGTAAGGTGATCTGTAATTTAAATTTTCAAAAGTTATTCTGAACAGAATTAGGAACTTAAATGTTAACTTACATTAAAAGTGTAAGATCTCTTATCAGGATGTTCCATAGGATTCTTCTTAAAAGCTTCCAGAATAGAACTTTGACCTCCAGAAGGTTACGTTACAAATATTTGATATGGTGACTTTTTTACACATTGTATCAACAGGCCATCAGTGAAGTGAAAAGGAATTCACTATAAAATATTATTTCACCTTTCTCTGAGATTAGTTCTTCTTTCTTAAAAATCAATTAAAAGAATGTTTTGTTACAGTTAGATGTTTCAGATGGAGGTAGTGCCTATCAGTTTCAGAATATAAAGAAAAAAGTAGTTTATTTAATTCTTTGCTGAATTATAGAATTGATACAGCAGTCACTAAAGAACAACTTAAAATATATTTAACTACATGTTTTAAGCTCACACTTTCTTCTAAATTTAGGGAGGAGAATAAAGCAAAAATGTAATTTTGTAAAACGTATGCTGATAATACAGTAGTCTGATTTTCACAAAGTGCTAAATGCCTCTGAAAATCTCTGTAAGGAATTTCAGAACTTCGAGTTCAAATCACTGGTCACTTCTGAAATGCAGATGAAGGTCAATAAATTTTATCATTATTTACTCTACCTACGATGTTTTTCTGAAGTTGGTTCTTTTCCAAAGTAATCTTTAATTTCTTAACCTAAAACTATCAGCGCTATCGGGCACGAGCATGAAGTCTTGCTGCGAGAAATGCTTTTGGAAAAAAATCTCTCTTTCATAGGTAAGAATCTGTAGCTACCCAGTGGATCCTTAACCAAAGATTTCAGTCACTGTTTACTTAAGAAAGAAATAAGCCTCAATGCTCTTTGTATTAGGTAGTAAAGGAAGAGTAAAAAATGATTGATGCTACACATGTTATCTTTTATTGATTTAGAACTGAGCAGGAACTGGGTTACCTAATACCCTAATATACAGCACATGCATGGGCTTGCAATTAATATTTTATAGAATAAGTAGCTGAAAAGAATGCTTTAATATCTGCTGCAGTATTACTTTTGGTGTCATGAGATATTAGCCATAATCTAGGCCTTATGAGACTTAGGAGGAAACATAAGAAATATTAGCTTCAAAATGCTTTATGTATTAAAGAACTGCTAGAGAATTCACTCTTTTAGCTTTCTATGCAGTTTCTGCTGAATTTTTGCCCCCTGCCTCCCAACCAATGCAAGCACTCTTTTCACAATCCCTATATTAAAAGTTATTTTAAGGATTAATTAGTTAGGATGTTAGTTTCTTTTTTTTTTTTTTTAGCCTGCACTACATTTCTTGAATATGAGTGCCATTGAAACAATGGTTAGTGTTTAAAATATCATTTCTCTTATTGTGATAATAAACTTAACAATGACTTCTTAAATTTTGGATTCCATACGTGATGAGAAAATAACAAAGTGAAATGCAGTCTTTTGTTAATGGTTGAGTGTTGTACTAAATTTGTGTGATCAGGGAATTTTGCTGGTTTTGCCAGAAAATATGGTCTCTTAAGAGAGAGGTTAAGATTTTGGAAACCTTTAACAGATTTAAGAAATTAGAGTATTTAATAGAGTTTTTAAAAGATGTGTCCATATGATTAAGGAACAGAGAGAGTGTGCTCTTTTATTGCATACGAACTTGCAAATGACACTATAAAAATGAGAGGAGATAGTTTTTCCTACTTTGTTATAAGAGCAGAGGTAGAGGTAATAGGCTTAAGCTGTAATTGCAGAGATGATGTTGAGTTAAAATACTAAACAGTTCTAGGAACAATAAGTATTAAACAAGCTGCCAGGGAAGGTTATGGAATCACCTTCAATGAAAAATTCAAGGCTAGAGTTGACACTCATCCATCAAAGCTGGTAATGAAATCAATCCTGTCACGATACAAGGGATTGGACTAGATGACTCACTAATGGATCCTCAACCCAACAATTATCATTTTATTTGGCTTGTGCAAGCTTGTGTAGTACACAAATCAGATTTAGATTTTAATGTTTCATGACCTTGGATAAGCATCAATTTTGTCTTTAGAAATAAGCTCTAAGAAATTTGTGCTGTCAAATCAAAATGTCTAGAATGGGTTAACTCATTAGAATATAAAGATATAAATGAGAGATCTTAATTTATTGTTTACATTTTATGTACACTGAGGTATTGTTTAGTCATGGTTTAAGATATGTTAAGTGGTTATGTTTATTATTTCTGTGCATTGCATTGTCTCTTAAGGTTCTAGGTGTGATTTTTTTCTTAAAAAAACAAAAAGCTTTTCCTAAGTATCTGCAAGATGAACCCTACTGAACCCTTCACAACAAAATCTTTCCTTTCTGAAAAATTAGTTCCAAAACTTCTTGAAGAAAACCTCAGGAAAACAGAAGAGATTGCAGTATTTCCTGTATACCAACAAATTCCAGCTTTGCTAGGCTATGAGTAAGACTGCACTCCAGTTTTGAAGATGGTTTATGACTTAGATTGCTATACACACAGTTCCATTACTTTTTAACAAGTGTTAAAGAAACAGAATTTTTGCAGTTTCCATGTAGTGTACTATTCCAGTGGACTGTTCTTCAAGAGTAGTAAGGTTTTTGTATGAGCTATGGCAACAGAGTGAGTTTTTTGTATCTCTGCTGGGCAACAGAGAATCTATTGCAGGAGAAGAAAGCACAGTCAAAAGACACAGGGAATATAAATTGCCTCAGTATAGTCTTGGAGCATGAAACAGCTTTTCAGGTGTGGGACATAATTTGCCTGTTTCTAGAGCAGTTAGCTTTCAAAGCCTACAGAACAGAAGTGTAACATGTTCAGATTCACCTAGAAATTGATTGGAAACCTGTATGAATGAATTCATTTTATTAATCCACTGTTCATGAGAAGTACATCATGTGCCACGTCCTCTCTTCAGCAAAAACACAGCTCTCAAGTCTTGACTATCACTTTGCCTGAGATTAAAGTGATGAATGGAAGCATTCTTTCAAAACAGGCTAACAGCTTCACTTGCCATACTGAAATGCCAGGAATTTCTAGGTTCTATATAGGATTTATATAATATATATATATATATATATATATATATATCCTTGCCATGAATATATTAGAAAAGCTTTTAGCTATAATGGGAAGATACTGACCTTTGTCTGGAGTCTTATCTTCCTTTGCTTCTCACCATGACGTCCTTCAGTAGTAGCCTGGGTATAAATCATAAAATCTGATCACTGTTTTCTTCAGTAATCTTAAATTTGCAGTTGTTGCTCATTCATGCACCAACAGAAGAATGTTTGGTTTCTTTGTTATGTCCAGAGGCTAGTATAAGAACAATGATGTGTTAAATGGTTATGATTGAGTGTGAAGTTATGGTAAAGATGAAGCTCTAGTTTTGCTGGAAAACTAAATTAATGGGGAATCTGTAGAATAATTTACTAGGGCTGTTTCAATGTAATTTTCAAATCTGAGGATGCATAAATGTAGCTGTCAAAGCTGCTGTGGGCTGGCTTTCAAGCGTTTGTTAAATTGTTCTCTTTCATCCATTCAGGAGCTAAAAGAGCTTTTAAGGTGCAGAAGGTTACTTCTGTGGCTTCTGGGCCAGTGTGAAACATAAGTGGGCTGAAAAGCTAGAACTTCTTTTCTTTTACTGGGCTTTTGGTTTAAGAAAAAGTTTATGGTGATTGTTTGAGTTTCTGTAATTCTTTTTTTTTTTCCCCTGCAATGTTATAAAGCTTCAAAATACTTGGAGAAAGAGTAATATATAATTATGCTCCTGCACATGATAGACAACTGACATCAATAATAAACATGTTTTTTAACATATTTTCCAATGTTTATCATAATACAAAATGTTAGGAGAAACCAACTGAAAAAATTCAGAAACAGATTTAAAACAAAAATGTTCTTTTTCAAGGCATGTGTTAGTGTCCAATGATCTTAAAACTAGGTGAGCATCCTTGAAAAAAAGTCTGCTGAAGAATATTAAAGGTAATGCTGATGCAAACTCCAGTTCAGAGACCTGCCAAGTTGACCCTTCAGGAAATGTTTTTACATCTGTCCTGATTTTCAGTGGGTTTTTCTAAGGTACATTTCCCTGAATTTGTGATACTAGCATTTGTTAGATGTGATAGAAAAGACTGAACTTGCTATTGTCATTTGTGCATTCTTAAATAATGAAAGATGGGACATCCTGTTATCTTTTCTGGACTGTTTTAAACTGTTAAGAGCAGGTTGCAGTTAAATAGAGTTGGATAAAATTGGATTGGGTTATTCTTTATTTTTATCAAGATTAAGACATCATTTAGAATATTAATTCATTTTTATGATATGGCATAAAACTCTCTGTTCATAGGTTCTGTTAAATTAGAACTTTGTTAATCTAGAAATCTTTTATCCGTATACCTGACAATCTTTCAGAAAATAGTCAACAACCAAGTCTGTCTTCAAATCCTAGAAAAATTTAATAGCTGATTGGGTGATATAATGAAGTGTTGCAATGCAAAGACTTGTATTTACAATGTAGAATGCTTACAGTGAAGAATACTCTCAGATTTCAAAAGAAACACTAAAACTGTCAAAAAGAGTAAAAAGCTATTGCAGTTTACACTTAAGTGAATGTACAACTTTCCAAAATTACTCCCGTACCACTTTCACTATTAGTTCACTATATAAAAAAAAAAAAAAAATACTTCAGAGTTATATTCTTCAGTGAGAAAGAGGAGGGAAGTTTGCTTTAGGCACTTCTAAAATATTTTTATTTCTAGGAGTGTATGTTTTTTCTTGTCATTAAAATGTTCCTTGAACTCAAACTGCTGACCTTTCAGGATATGCACAAAGTATTCTAAAACTGAGTTCTGAACGTTGGCCATGAAACTACTGTCCTAACCTGATAAATGGATTGGAAATAAGCTACCCAACAGTGAGAATGGACCATTAATTTTAATCAAAGGTGATGTAGAAAGGCGAATGGGATGCATGACAATGTCAACAGCCCAGTAGGTGTTAAGGGGCTACACAGCCTTACTTGTTACTAGGTAGTGCCATTAGTTGAGCTTGGGTGAAGACAGAAAGCCATGCCTGGAATTGAATGACCAGGTCACTCCAAATTCTAATGGAGAAATGGTGTTTCAGAAATACTGGTGTAATGGTATCAGAAATCAAGGACAATAGTTTAGAAAATATTAAGGGCTTGCTTTGGCTTTTTTTTTTTTTTTAAAGGAAGCATCTTTTGTCTTTTGCAGTTTTATCTTACTCGCTCCTTACTATTGTTTCTTCAAATATTCAGCTCTAATATTTGTAAGCAATAGTGTTTTGTAGTTAATGTTAACAGAATTTCTAAATCTTTGTGTGTTCTGAAATTGGATAAATTCTATAGAATGCAGGAAGCAAGAGAAGCTAAAATTGTGGCCTCTCTCTCCTTTAATAAATTTCTGGAAGAGAGGGATTTTCTTACTCCTTTTTTAACAACATTATGCTAACGTTAAAATAAAACTAAGAAGGCAGCTATAGTATATCTACATTTGTGGTAGCGGTAGGATTAATCTTAACAGCTTCCTAATGTGGGGAGACTCTTCTTTCAATCAGTGAATATACTTCTTTATTTTGAATATTTGAGGGTTATAAAATACTGTATGACAGCTTGAATTAATGATGTTTATAATGAAGACATAAAAATGCAGGGATGACAAAGAAGCATTTTTATATCCATGCTTCACGTTTTCTATGAAGGTTCATTTAATCTGACACAGCATTGCATGCACAAGAAAGATATGTATGACTGCATTAGTAATTCTTGCACTCTTATTTAAAATAAAATTAATTATACTGCTGTCTACTTAATAGAATACTTTTATAAACAATAGTTCTTATTCTCTATGTATAGCTGAAGATCAGCTTCGTGCAAAGGGTTATGACAAAACACCAGACTTTATTTTAGAAGTGCCAGTAGGTAAGTCTTTTTAAAATAATTTTTCTTATTTTATTTTGTGTAGAAGTATTCATGATAAAATGTTAAGGCTACTTAAGTGAAGTATATTATAGGATACTACAAATTAGTCTCTTTTTTCAGTAGTTACCCAATAATTTTAAGAATTTAGAGTTTGGGGCAGAGAGGTTTGATCATAAGTAGTATTACCCAGTGTTTCCTCTTTGATCTCTGCATATTTCACAAAAAGAAGAAAAAAAAAAAGCAGCAATAACAGCCCCTGAATCCCTGCTCCCTCTAACGTGCTCTGACCACTGTCTTTGTGAACTGAATTCTGAAGTACTTATAATTGTCTTAAACTTCCAGCCCAAATCAGTTCACAGCAGTCTTAGGAGTATTATTGTTACACTTAGAGGTGATTGTCATTGTGCAGTTTTTCTTTTGCCATCACTTTGCTTCTAAATACAACTCTGCAGTTCCCTATTGTTTTTTAAAAGCCTGCATAACAAGAAGCAAGAAGACATAAAAGTAAGTATAAAGGTCATGTCAAAGTTCATCTACATTTTCTAGTCTTGAGGCCATGTAAGAAGGTCATCAGATGACCTAGTGGCTAGGCCATGAAAGAAAAAACATCCATGTTGTCCATGTGTAAAAGGTTATTAATCACCTCTTGTAAATTGACTTTCATGCCAAAAGATTTCTGCTTTGCCTCCACAGAATATAGTACCTGTCTATGTAGGTGCCTACTGTTTTGTCTATCATAGAAAATAAGGCTGAAAGTACCGTGTGAAAGTCATATACATGACTAGCTTTTTGTTCTTCATATTGTCAAGAAATTCTTACTGAGATAACTGGTTTGTACACTAGTGTGTACTGTAAAATTTCTCACTAGTCAGAAGTGCTTGAAATACCATCTTTCAGCACAACTATCTGTTCTCCAATAGATAAACAACTATGTATATGAGAGTCTTCTAAGACGTTTCTTAGCTCAATGGTGTTTGTATTCCTAATCACATTTCAAAAAAAAAGAAGAAAAATGGTAGTGATGTTAATAAGAGGTTATATGTACAAAATAAAAAAATACCTTTGTAACTGAAGCACTCTGTATTTGAAACAGTGAGATTTGACATCATAATGATTTGCAGTTCACTCTTGTCAAGTGACACTTGGAGAGGTTTCAATTAATTTCTACTTCTTCACTTCCATACCTCTTATTTGTGGAGGGACTCGGGAAGCTACCAAGGACTTGAGGGGATGAGGGAATGGGTTTTTTTATCAAGTCTAAAGCTAGCAGGGAAGATTGTGAAATTATAGAATCACAGAATGGCTGAGGCTGGAAGGAACCTTTCTGGTGGTCATCTGCTCAAGCAGTATCACCTGGAGCTGGTTACCCAGGACTACGTCCAGATGGCTTTTGATTATTTCCAAGGTTGGAGACTCCACAGCCTCTCTGAGCAACCTGTGCCTGTAGTGCTCAGGCACCCTCACGGTAAAAAAGTGGTTCCTGATGTTCAGATGGACCCTCCCATGTTCCAGTTTGTGCCCATTGCCTCTGGTCCTGTCACTGGGCAAAACTGAGAAGAGCCTGGCTCCCTCTTCTTAACACCTGCTCTTCAGATAGTTGATATGTTGATAAGACACGCAAACAGTGTGGACTACAATATGCACAATGTATATTGGTATTAAGATACTGACTTTTACATTAGAAACAGATAAGGTCATATCCCAGCTATTCGGGAGCTTGATTAAATGGAAACTAGAAAAGCAACTAGATGGAGATAAATTTTTCATGCTTGAGAATGGAAACTGGAAAACACCCAAAAGAATTCTTGGGTTTGTAATATTACCCTATTAGAAAGAAGGTTAAAAATAGCCATTGGTTTGTTTGTATGGATTTGTCTCTAAAAATCTGAATAGCAGTAGTGCATTATGTTCTTCAAATTATTTCAGTCACTTGAGATTGGCAGGAAAGTTTTCTGCCTGTTGTCCAATCTGAACTGATGTGTGGCAGTCCTTGCATTCTCTTCTTCATGACTCAATACGTTGCTAGGAAAGCCAAAAGTTTCTTAGAAATTACTTCTCAACTGACTACAGAGTTTATACTTCAGCTGTTCTATCTCCTGAGGTCTAGAGGTTTTGAGTGTGGGGAGAAGATGTGGTAGTATAGGCCTACACAAGTTAACTTGGGTTAACAAGGGTAGTGGTGGCATATTGAGCTTCATCTGGTGAGTTGTTTACTCAGATTTCGCAAGTAATTTTACGGTCTGGTCAATCATGTGCTGCCATAGCCTCTTCTAATCTTTCTGTGTTGTGTTTCTGGGTCTGTATGCCCTTTAAGTACCTTATCACAGGTCAAACTTAGGCTAAGACATCATGGCTGTGGGTGTCATAGGGAACTCAAAAAATAGGAAACATTTTTAAAGACCTCAATAATGATACCCACATTATGTTTTGGAGAAAGAATGATCTTTTGGAGGGATTTGCATGGTTTCTCCTGCAAAATCAGGTTGTCAACTTCAGAGAGGTCTTTCCTTTTACTAAAAAAAGATAATTTTATTAACATTAGAAATTTACTCCTGCAAGAAATAAGAAAAGACATGAACCAAAGCAAATCCCACAGCACTGAAAGAAACAAAAAATCAAAATCGCGTTTTTTTAACATAAACCTTCTTACTCCTAACTTCTTTCTGGTGAAGCATTACTGATTTTGCAGAAGTGAGGAAGCAGATATATATCTACAGTAAACTTTCTTGCCATTCTCACACCTTCCGCTCTGGATTGGTGAGAAGTTTCTGTCTTTAGCAGCTTAGCTAACCATTCTTATTCACCAGAAGTTTTCAATTCCTTACCTGACAACTCCTTTCCAGCGAAGTAAAATGCAATTGCACCTTAATCTAGTCTCTTTCTTTACATTCTGTTTATGTTAGAATAAATGCAAATATCTAGAACAGAGTGTAATTAAACTGAAATTAATATAATTATCCATTAAAATAAATTCCGGTACTTTTTTGAAAAAATGTCCAATATGCATATTTAAAAGATATTTTTACAAATATGTAACTGTGTTGGAAGCATGAATTATGTGGTAGATTGAAGGGTCAATAGGATATTCCCAAACACATTCTTACAGGCTGTTGAGTTTGATTTTCAGAGTTCATTGTATTTTCTGCTGTCACCCTAGCTGTTGAAGGACACATCATTCACTGGATTGAAAGCAAAGCCTCGTTTGGTGATGAAAGTAGCCACCAAGCCTATTTGCAGGACCAGTTTTGGAGCTACTGGAACAGGTACATTTCTGTTATTTTTCCTTATAGATAAATATGACTGCATTTTTAAAAGAAGCTACTGGAAAATATACTAGTGAGTGTTGTATTAAGCCATGTGAACAAAATTCATGTTACTAATCTGGCATTTTGAATGTCATTAATTAGTATGTCAAATTGGAATGCTGAAATATTTGTGAAAAATTCACATCATAATTGTTAACGTGCGGTAGATATATATGTTGATTTTACAGTGATGCTAGATGACAGAGTAAATTACTTTGGTATAGAAGTTATATATCCACTTTTTTAGTACCTGACTTTGAAGGAAGATTTTACTAGGGAGATTTTGCTATAAGGTTTTGTAATGCCTGCAAGGTACCAGATTTGTTGGAAAATCTTCAGAGTCTAACAAGTGGGCTTTGTGTGTAAAGAACTTTATTGCCTATTATCATTGTATCTAGGACAATACTGTTTCACTGTGGGGTTTTTTTAATAATTTTTTTTTAATGTTACCTAAGTTTTAAACAGTAGTAACAATTAGCTTCAAGCTAAAAAATAAAGTAGGCATTTGCTGGAACATGAGAGAAATAAGTTATTCTGGACAGAGTCTTTGAACATGTTGATGGTATCGGTATAAAGATCTTTTCTTTTAAAGATGGTTAAAATAGTTCTGCTTTATTCTTACAGAGGTTGTTATTGTATATATTTATATATCGTTCTGTGGTACTAGAAGCCTCCTCACTGGGGTATTTTTATTTAAAAAAAAATCCTAAACAAGATACTTCCTCTTCAGTTCCATTTTTGCATGTGAAACCCTAAGCAAGGTAGTGAGTAAGTGAGGTAAATGAAAGTTTTAATAAAGGATTTTTTTAAAGCATATATTTAGAAGTCTGCTCAGTGTTCACAAGAGAGCATCAATAGAATCTGAGATAGTGGAGAAGATGGCACAAACATGCGTGAACATGTAACAAATAAACAGTATGTGCCAACATCAGAGTCTAGGCTGGTGACCATTAGTATTTCAGCTGAATATGGGAAATGTCAAGGTGAGAATAGTTAGCCTTAGCGTGGGAAATACCTTAAAAGCAGATTCTGTAGGAGGCAGCAGAGAAGGGGAAACCAAATCTTGAGAATAACATCATCAGAGTTTGGAATTATGCTCTGCAGCAACATTCTGCTGACATTGATTGACATGAGAAGGATCTGCTCTTATTTGACAATCCCAGAAAGTAGTGACTTGGAAAACTTGAATTGAGGTAATGGGAACCTCGGGGAGACTGTCAGTTGTTGGATGAAGATACTGTACTACAGGAAAGTTGTAGAAAAGAATTTGTGAAATATAACCAGAGTACAAGGCATAGAAATATTAGTATATCCAATATCTAGGCAAATGGTGAGAGTGGCTGAAAAGTTGCTAATGCAAATAGTGCTGAACTTGCACATCAGTGTAAATAAGAGGAGATGGAGCAGCTCAGGCTAGGAGACCAGTAGATATACCGGCTGGAATATTTTCTGAGGAGAAAGAATGTTTTTGAAGGGATGCATGATGGTGTCAGAGTAAAGGAGCTCCAATAAATGAATTTTAAATAGATAACATGAGCATAAAGATACAAAGTTGAGATGAGGTGAAAGTTGAGTAGTAAAGTAGGATGAAGGCACTGATCCATTTGTTGTTTGCAGTAAAATTGCCATTGTAAAGTTGAAGTTGTAGTTTCTGTCTTTTTTTGTGCCGAACAAAATATCTGTCCACATTTTCATTTGAGCTATAAAATGTGTTAAACATTTGAGAATATTGTGTACCATTTGAATCTGACATTTCTGAAAGAAACTTCTCTTATGCTTTTATCAGGAAACGAAAGCATAGCTACTTTATTTTCATTTTATCATGTAGTAATTAATATTACAACTTCAAAAATGGAATAACATCTCTCACTGAGCTGTTAGTCAAGTACCTTTAATGCTGCAAAAGCTAGAATGAATTGACATGTGGATTAATAAGACTGTTTTGGAAGTAGTTTTGAGATTTTGACAAATCTTCTGGTACAGCTATTCATATCGAAAATGACTGCAAAAACTGTTGATTCTTAAATATAGTGACTTTACATTCCTATAAAGGAAACTAGAAATCTCCTTAGTGAGATTTGTTACTCCTTAAATCCAGAATTTGGTGATAACTTAACTACGGAAATTAGGCAGATTTCTGCGGGGGGTTTTTAAAGAACAAATCCTGTTAGTTTTAATTTTGGTACTGCTTGGCCAAACTAACAGTATCACAACATTGTGAAATGAGTTCTGAGTTACTGCAGTTTATTCTAATATAATGACAGTGGGGTTAATGAACACTTGTTGACAGATTAGGTTGCATGTAGGTTAGACAGTTAACTCTCATTGCTCTCTGAAACTATTGATATGAAAAGACACAGGTGTAGCTGCACAAACTGTAAATCAATTTTGTATGATTTAATCAGTCTGTGAAGGACCTCTCAAGTGAGAACCAACTTCCCAGTCAATTCACTGCACCGGTGTCTCCTTTGCTCTTGAAGGAGGAATCATTTGGAGAAGCAGCATCAGTTCACAATAGAGGTATCATGACACTCAGTTGATAGCTTAGGGTTTTTTATACCTGGTCTGTTGGTTAAATATAAAGCCAAATTGAAATTGGAGAGAAAACCTGTAACATCACCTGTTAGATGTGGATAGAAATACATATCTAGATACTTTGAAGGTACTGAAGGTGAGAGGCTTTAGACCTTTCCCATACAGCTCCCTTTTTTTTTTTTTTTTTTTTTTTTTTTTCCTGAAAAGTAGAAAAGTGAAACTGAAAAAGTTTCTGGGTTATTTTCCCACATCTGTCACAGATGTAAGTCTAATTCTGCACACCATCTGACTGAAAGCTTTAAACCTAGCTGTGGCTTGTTTGGTGTTATGTGTGTATTTCATTAAATCCTGTACTTTGTGCTAACTAAATCTGTGAGTGTCTTAAATTGGTCTGTACTGACAGGGAAGAAATGGCACTTTCTCATTTAACAGAACAGCTCCCTAGATGCAGTCAACCATGTCTGTTCACCTCAGTGCAAAAGAACACCTTTTTATTACTCTGAGTTCTGCAGGGACAGCTTAGCAAGGTTTTTTATGGCTCATACATCAATGGTATTGTTAAGCAATTTTCAGTTGCAGTGCTGCACTGCAACCTCATCTTCAAATTAAGCTTCACATTAAAAATGTACAAAGTGTACCTTGTCAGTGGGTTTGCACAGTTGTAATTTAAGATGCTGTTTAGAGAATTTTCAATAATAAAGAAACGAGAAAAGGCAAGTTTGGTGTTGCATGTTCCCAGACTGATTTTGCAGAGTGATATTTTAGAAAAAAGCTATTTTATATACTGAACAAATTTACTGTAAAATTATTCATGTACTTACAGAATCCCTTCCCTTGTTCCTCCAAAGTGGTAGCATCCATTGAGCAGGCTATAGTTTTCACTGCCACTGAGTAAACAAGACAACTGCATGTGCAAAATATAATTGCTTTGTGCACATGTGGTAGATACCACACTTTTTATTGTTCACTGGCCTACTTTGGTGTATTTCTTGTCACCATGAGGGTAAAAACTGTTGAATAGTCTGTGTGACCAGAGGTAATTTGGAGGACATGAACAGGAAGTAACACAGATTGCACTTTAAAACAGGGTCTGAGAACACGCTGTAAATTATTTTAGAGTTTAAATGAATGCTTCTGTTTCTTTTTTTTTTTTCCATAATGTCCACTTTTATACTTTTTTCTACCTTAAAATTGGGAGTCCTGTCTGTAAAAGTCTGTTAGTCATAGTGGATAATCATGATTTCTATTTTCTGAGAGGCATATAGAGATCAGCAATACACAGTTCAAGTAGTAATTAGTGGGTGCGCTGTCAGTGACTTGCTGTAAGGAGACATAAACTCAAATACAGCAATTTACATTTTCTGTCTTCTGCAAGCCTGGCTAAGGCATATGTGCATTCTGGAATGTAATTTCTAGAGGGTCCCAGGAGAAAGCCTGACGCCGTTATTAGCTAAAGAAACTTTACTATATGTGAGCAAGACCATAGGAAAATGTCATATTTGACACTGATATTAAACTAAATGTAATTTCACATAGTGAAAGAGAAGCATTTCATCTTCTCTTTGAATAAGAATGGTAAGTCATCTCTGTACTAAATTCCTTCACCCGTTTACTTGTATTCTGAATGCTGATAGTACTCTGCTTCTGCTTTTTTGAAAGAATAAATAAAAGCAAGTTTCCCATAAATAATTTTAAAATAATCACCACACTTTTTGGAAGCCTACATTCATGATTAAATGTGGTGTTAATATATTATGTGTGATCCTGAGTCTTCAGTTTATAACTAACAGTCATAGTAAAATTATCAGAGTCCAGTGGATTAAGGTTTTTCAGGTAAATGCAAACAGAAAAAATATAGAGGATTGTATATTGTATTTCAGTCACAGACACAGACTATGTGTTCTTAGGGGTTTTTGAGAATGGTGTTCAGTTCAAATTAATTTGCAGTTGACTATAAGGGTGAATCATATGTGAGCAAAGGCTGAATCAAAACATCAGAACGATATACTTTTGTTTTTTTCTGTTCAGCTGTTTAAAATAGTTTGACATGTTACTGTGAAGACTGTTTAAGTAATTTTCTGGTTGTAGGTGGTAGGGGCAGAGGGAGTTATGTTGTGAGTTTATGGATGTCTATTCTATAACAAGATCAATATTCTCCAATTGAAAATGGTTTAAAAAGTTGTACTGGTGAATTGAAAGCCAGTGGTATAACAACTTGACTTGGAGGAAACCTTGGGAGTTGCATTTGTCAAGTGGCTAGGAAAACTGTTCATGCATACCCAGTATCCAAAGCTTCATTGGCAGCCCAAACATAGAGAACTGAAAGGTCATTCTTCTTCTTGCAGTGTGATGGTTTGTTGACATATTTTGACACACTGGTACAATGCTGAAAGGTTTTGACCTTACTGCAACACGGAGGGACT